AATTTTAATCTGTTTTTATATGTTTATTTTTTATACAAATTTACAAAATCTTTTTATTTTTTTAAACATGTTAAACTAACTTTTAATTTTTAGGCATATTGAGTCATAATATAATTTTTAAAATAATTTGCGGTCATTTCCATTGTCTTTATATATAGTATACAATTCTCTAATTAACTATATATGTTTAATTTTTTTTTTATGATATCGAAGATTGATCATACAATAGATGGTTTAACATGCCAAAAATATTATATGCTAAGTGAATATAATATGATCAAGTATTACAAGTACATCATTTAATAAAATAAATAATCAACAACCGGAAAATCATATCCGCGCTGGCGCGCGGGTCAAGGTCTAGTTGTTATTATTTTAAAAACTGATGTTATTTTTAATTTAGTCAACAATAAATAAAATTGAATATGGTCTTTATATCTCTATAATATTATTTGAGAAGTCATTTTCCTATGTGTCGCTCTCACGTTCACTCTCACGATGGTCGATTACATTGATACCCTTAATGAATCAAAAATAGTTAAAATAGTATTATTAATTCTTTTATTTAGTTTCCTTTTCAAAAATTTCCAAAAATATATGTAATGAAAAGGAAAATTTTTATAAAGTAATAATAACAAATTGAAAACGAAAAATATATGTATATATAATATGATTTCATAAAAAAAGGAAAGTTCACAAAATAGTAATAATACATTTAAAAATATTTTTAAATAACATAAAATATACTTTTAGAGTAATAATTTTTTTTATAATTAGTATTATTGAATTTTTTATTTATTTTTCATATATTTAGTTGACTATAATATCTTTCAATTACAGAAAACTATCTATAAATTATATTTTACTTAATTATATAATATTTTTTTTCAAATACAATCACAATTTTATGTAGTGCTTATTTTTAAGAGATATTAAACACAGAAAATAAATTTAACAATAAACATCGCTTGATCAAATAATTTTATCATTATTAAAATTATTTTTTTCTTAATATTAAATTTTATTTTAAATTTTAAATTTTTATGTTTGTGAAACTAAATATAACCATAATCAAAATACCAAAGAAAATATGAATTTCCAATTTTAAGATTATTTAAAATAAATTTCAGTTTACATTCAATAAATCTAAAGCATAAAGTTATTTAGAATTTATAAATATTTTAGTTATTGTAAATATTGATATGTGTTCATGAGGTTCCAAAAATGTATCAACTACTTATGCATGTAGCCTTTTATTGATCATAGGACAACACAAAACATATTAACAAATGAAAATAAATANATTAATGATAACTCATTTACTGCATCACTAACATCACTGATATATTACATGCATCTAAAATGTGTATCAATAAAACGTGCATCACTAATATAATATAGAGAAATATAATATTAACTAACACACAATATAACATGTGCATGTATTAACTATATTGGTTTATATAATGTATTCTACGGTATAATAACGTCACTGTTAAAAAATAATATAGAGATAACTCTAATTTCAATATCAAATCGGATTACCAATCATATACACATATTCAAACAGCTAATCCGATTACCACCTATCCATTTTCTAAATTTTTTTTTTTTAAAACAATTGAAAAAATAGAAAATCAAAACAGAAAATCTTATCTCTATTATAACAGAAAGTTTTGCAAGATCTAATCCGATTACCATCTATCGATTTTCTAAAAAAAAAAACAAAAAAAAACAATTCAATAAATACAAAATCAAAACAGAAAATCTTATCTCTATTATAACAGAAATTTTTGCAAGATCGTATCCTTAAATCAATATCATATCCAAGATTTTCGCATCATAAGCATATATTTAATTTCAACCTGATTGGTCTATAATTTCGGTAACTAATTTTCTTGCGGAAGAGGAAACAATAAATTCAAAATCTAATGGGATATATAGATTGAACCAAATTCCTATATTCGGGTATATTTTCGAAAGAAATAGAAAAAAAAACGGTTTTAACATGGGTTTTCAATAATGTGGGCTTTCAACATATTATTTTGACACAGAACAAATGATCAGAAATAATATATTATTAATATAATTATGAAATAGTTTAGATTGGGATGACCAAATTTTAATCTGTTTTTATATGTTTATTTTTTATACAAATTTACAAAATCTTTTTATTTTTTTAAACATGTTAAACTAACTTTTAATTTTTAGGC